ACACACACACACACACACACACACACACTTTAAATGCTAAGTTATAGAGCTGTGCTGTCCAGTATGGTAGTTATTAACCACTTGTGGCTATTATTAATTAAAATTAAATAAAATGTAAAATTCAGTTCTTTAGTAGCATTAGCTGCATTTCAAGTGTTCAACAGTCACATGTGCCTCGTGGCCAGACAATGCAGATTACAGAATATTTCCATCATCACTGAAAGTTCTATTGGACAGTATTGATATACAATGTCATCTCCAGAGAGAAAAGACTTTAGAAGAAGTCAGAAACATCTTGAAGCAGACACAGTGCTGTCATCATTCAATATTGAAGGTATTTTAAGACTAAAAAAGATTATAATAAAGGAGAGAATGCTCCTAGCCACAGATGGACCCACCCAGAGACCAGCCAAAGCACTCATGTAGCCATCATGTTGCATCTAGCTCTTGAACTCTTTAAGAGATCAGAATAAATTCATATATAGAGGACTAAACCCCTAAAGAGGATCAGAAGCAGACAGAAAGAGAAATAGGAAAAAGAGTCAATTAGTTACAAACGAAGCTTAATCATAATTCATTTAAATGATGCAATTTTACTCTTTGTACTTAGTAGTTATTTTTCTTTTGTATGACATAGTTTGTATTTTTAAAGGGGAATTAAAACACTTCTGGGGATTTTTTTTAGGTAAATTCACATAGCCGCATAAAAACTACAAAAATGGGTAAAAAGTATCTTTTTATTACTCACTAATCCATTCAAATTGATTATACAAAATCCAAGAGTCCACAGTGATATTCAAAAAAGCTACAGCAAAATAACTAATGAGACAAACAACTTCAGGCATCACCAATGAAAGTGGCAGTTTCACTAAAACCTTACTATGAAAATTGGTAATTAAGAGAGAAATAAACATATATCCTGCTTTTCAGAGGGAATTCTATTACAGAAAAACCAAATAGCCCAGTTGTGAGTAAAAATCCCAGCTTACAGAAAAATACCAGCTAAAACATGTAGATGGGATTACAGAATTAGAAAATCATCGTTTTGAAACCCCTAATGAAATACTGTGCTCAAGCAAAGATCATTAATGGATGCTAAAACAACTGAATAAAGGTTGACATGGAAATGAATATTCACATGGTATAAAGTTTACCCCACAGGCTACTTGCTGGTCCCAAGAGAGAAGATAATGGAAGACACAGGTAATCACCACCATAGCCCTGTAATCATCCCAACATCACGAATAATGAGACAATCAGAGATTATGTTTCCTAATGTGATACAACATGAATGTATACCATCACCTATAAAATATTCTTGTAAAAAAAAAAATGTTGACCCTGAATCTTTAAGCCTTTACAACTAACTTTTAGTTAATTAAAAACAAACTAACAAGGGCCGGCTGTGTGGCTCGTTGGTTAAGAGCTGGCTTGGGACGCCAGCTTTGAGTAGCAGGGCCCCGGTTTGGATCCCACATGGGCCAGTGACGTTGCGCCTTCTACAGCTAAAATGCTGAACAACAGCTTGACCTGGCACTGGGCTGCTGTGAGTTGCCAGCGACGGCGTACACTATAGCCCCTGATGCAGTGGCTGCTGTGAGCTACTGTGAGTGGCTGGCTGCTGGCGTGAGCTGCCATGAGCCTCTGTGAGCAGCCGTCCAATGGCCGGCAACCGATCTTCCTCAGCTGGGAAGAGCACAATGATCACAATACCAACATGGGCCAGTGAAGTGACATCCTCCACAACTATACTGAACAACCAAAGGACAGCAATCTGTCTGTTCCCCTTCCCCAATTCCCCAACACTGATCCCCTCCCCCAACTCCCCAATAAAATCTTTAAGAAAAAAAAATGAATAGAGTAAAAAGTTAAATAACACCAAGAAATAATCAGAAAATTCCAGAAAAGGTGGAGTGGGGGGACATTCTACAGGACAATTGACTGGCCTAGCGTCTTCAACAAGTAAATTTCATTAACAAAATAAAAATAAAGAGGGAGATACTTTCTAGGTCAGCGGTTCTCAACCTGTGGGTCGCGACCCCTTTGGGGGTCGAATGACCCTTTCACAGGGGTCGCCTAAGACCATTGGAAAACAAAAAGATATTTACATTACAATTCATAACAGTAGCAAAATTACAGTTATAGAGTAGCAACGAAAATAATTTTATGGTAGGGGGTCACCACAACATGAGGAACTGTATTAAGGGGTTGTGGCATTAGGAAGGTTGAGAACCGCTGTCTAGGTTAAAAGAGACTTAAGACAAATAACCAAATGCAATGCATGTTCCTTGCATTAGAAGAAACCAGTTTGAACAAACCAGCTATAAAAAACATTTCAGAGTCATTGAGAATCCGAATGTGGACTGGGTAATAAATGATACAAAGAAAACACTGTTGTTGTTTTTTTGTTGTTGTTGTTGTTTGGGATGTAATTGTCAAAGAAAATATTCTTAATTTTTAGAGATCCATACTGAAGCATTTAGAGGTAAAATGTCATTCTCTTTAATATAATTTAAAATACTTTAGGTCTCAAATAAGATGAAACAGGTATAGAAAAATGTTAACAACTTAGGTTATGGGCAATTAAAATATCATTAGTTTATTCTTTCCATTTTTCTGAAAGTTTGAACATTTCATAATTAAAAAGGAAAATTTATAAATCCCAAATTGTACAGGTATATGTCTGGGAACCTATTTCAAGCTTTATGAGATAATAAAACATTGGTAATGTGTGTATCATTTATAAATTCCAAACTTCTGTTCTCCTCCAGCAATTACATCATCAAAGAGCAACTATAGTTTTTTTAATAGAAAATTGCTTTGTAAAATTAAGCTGTTCAATCAAAAAAGATTTGTCAGGTAGAGAGAATGCAGCCCACCCAGTCAAATTCCATCTAATCAGTTCAAAGAGAAGAATTTTTTTTCTTCTAGCCTGTATATGAATATTCAATAGGAAATCAAAAAAGACCAAAGCATTTGGAATTGAAGTTCATCATTCCTGAATATAACTCAACAGTCCAAGTTAGGACACAAGTGCATTCCCAACAATTTGCAATTACTCAACACCAATTTTGTTTACAGTTATCCAAACCACCTTTCTCCCAAAGCCAGCCTTCTGATTATTCACTTTGCTTTAGCAGAAGCTCCCAAGGTAAACAAAATGAGGAAAAAATTGATTAAAATCAGCTGTTTGAAATTTTGATAAGTGCCCACCATCCTTTTCACCCATGCACACCCATCTTAAAAGGAGTACTTTCAGATTATTTAAGAGATGGTCCTTCTATGTGGATTTTAATTTGTCATTCTGCCCTTCATAACAACTGCTAGGTTAAATTTGACTCTATTTTAAGCATATATTAACATATGCTAACCATCTCCTAAATTAAACTCCTCTCAAAGTTAATAAAATGTGTTTATCAGAGAAGGCCCATTGAAGTAAGAGGTTGAAGAGTCCTTATGGTAAAGTGCGCCAAGAAATATTATAATAAAGCATAATAATAATTTGCCCACGCAAATCAACAACTCTAACTTCAAAAATATCCTGACCCACAATAAATATTGGACAGGCTATGTTTCTCTCACTCCCTGGAAAAACTGGCCCAGAAAGGCGTATGAAAGCTGCTATAGCTCTCCGAAGGCTCATTATTCTCCATCATTCCATGAGAAGGGCTTTCTCAGACACGAGTAAAAGGCCATTTGTCAGCCTATCTCCATATCCCTGATTCAAGCCAACTTTCACCAACCCCAAGTGAGAGACAGAGACAAACACAAGTCTTATATCTCCAGCAGCAGCATCTGCTGGCACGGGAATTCCCAGGTCTACCTCCCAACTCATCCCTCAGTCCTGTTTCTCCCAACTGCTTTAGGTTATTAAAAAAGAAAGAAAGAAAAGAAAAGAAAAGAAAGAAAGAAAGGAAGGAAGGAAGGAAGGAAGGAAGGAAGGAAGGAAGGAAGGAAGGAAGGAAGGAAGGAAGAAAACATCCTGAGAAGGAGGAATTATAGTGGGGTGCCTGCAGGGAGAGTGTTGGGAAGAGAACGGAGGAAATCCAAATGTCAGATAATTGTTTAGTTTCACTTTTTAAAATGTTCACACTCATTTATACATCTGCAGAGATTTCACTTAAAGCAAAGGTCTGTGTGTATAGGTCTGACTGCATTAACAAGATGGAAATTACTCTTTTAGACAATGCTTCCCACACAGAATTCAGAGACCTCTGAAGTTAGGTATCCCTCACGCAGAAGTCCTTGAGATGCTGCCAGGCTGGGAAGGAGGGAATCAGGATTGAGGATCTGCGGAAAGCTGCTTCTAGTTGCAGCATAGGAAGAAAGGGGGGTGGGGGGGGGGAGGTCTGAGAATTCCAATTGCAAAAGAAGGCTGCAGAGATCGTGGGAGAATGGAGAGGAAATGAGGATGAAAAGGGAAAGAGAGAAGAGGCATGAAATGTTGTCAAATGCCAAAGGGCATCTTGGGGAGACGCCCGGAATTGCTTTAAGAAAGGCACTGCAAATCTCATTTCAGACCATTTACAGATGTCTCTGGGGAACTGAGAACCCAGGCTGTATAGCATCAAACTGATCTTTACCCCATCCCTATCTGAATGAAATTAATCATGAAATAAGTCTGCTGGGTTCATGAACCAACGATATTAAAAACCTTCAAGGTTTTACTCTTGCCAAATATGTCAGGGATCAACACTGGTGTGTGTGTGTGTGTGTGTGTGTGTGTGTGTGTGTGTGTGTATTCTGTGACAACACTACTGTTAAATTTGGCAGAGCGAAAATTTAGGGTGGAAGATGGTTGCAAACAGGACAACGTCCGGGGTGCCCCAGGGACGTTGTGGCGAGCAGCGGTGGCGGGGCGCTGGCGGAGAGGACCTGGGAGAGCAGCGGAGCCTGGGTGGGGACCCGGGTCAACAAGGGCCGGCAGGTAGGAGGGGGCGGGAGAGAGAAGGGGGCATGGGAGCGGCACAGCGGGAAGCGGGGGCTGCCAGGTGACTCACCCCGTTGGCCGCGGCCATCTGCACCACGATCTCGGTGGCCGTCCGGCTGAAGTACCTGCCGTCACTGCCCACCACCATGGTGCAGCCCTGGCGATCGCGCAGGTCGATGGATGACAGCACACTCTGGATGAAGTTGGGCAGGTAGTTGCGCTGGCCCTCGAAGAGACCCGTGGGCCGCCTCAGCCCCCCGCCGCCGGTTGGCCGCTGGTCCTCGTAGGGCGCCGTGGGCACCGTCAGCACCGGGATGGGACTCCCCTCCATGGCGCCTCCTGGCCGGTCCTGCCGCGGATCCCGGGAGTCGGAGGGAATGTGCAGCCCGTCGGGGGCCCCCCACCAGCTTGAGGGCAGGCCCGGACTCCGCCTCGCGCCCCGGCCCCCTCCCCAGCCGGCCTGCGCCCTGCGCCCTCCCGCGGCACCGACCAGTCGATCTTCCTGCTCAGCGCGGCCCCTCGCTGCCCCAGCAAAGTTTGGCCTCTACCTTCCAAGAAAAGTTTTCTCCCGGCCCACCTCCTCTACAGCTGGAACTCCCAAGGGGCCCGCAATTTCTTTCCCCAGCTGGACTCACTTTCGGAGTGTCGTCCCAAAAACCCGTTCCCAGCGCCAGCTACCCAGACCCCTGGCGACTCCTCCTTGTGTGCCTGGCCCAAATGTCCCCAAGCGATAGTTTGTCTCCGGGGCCCACCCTCCGCTAGAAAATGGCCTGGGGTTGGGGTGGAGGTGGGGGTGGGCGGGGTGAGAGCTGGAGCAGGATTTGCGATCCTCTCCCGCACCCGCAGACCCTCTCCCCTTTCACCGGCAGCCTAGTCTCCTGGTCTCCTTGGGAGTGAGCAGTTTACACGCACAAGTTTCTCTTTTGAACAAGGACAAGGGAGGGAGTTGGGAGGGGGCTGAACCTTTTGCCATCAGCGAACAGCCCCAGCCAAAAATAACCCTGGAAAGGCGAGCTGAGAATTGTTATCTTCTGCCAGCGCTGAAATTGGAGGCTGGGTGCTGCGTGTGTCTGTGTGTATACACACCCCCCACCACTACCATTTGTTGCAGGGAATCACATACAGTCAGGCCCTTCAATCCATTAGGGCCCGCCAAGCCATCCACCCTTTCCCCCAGGCACTCGCAAGGGAGCCCACTTTTCATTGTGGAAACTTTTCTTATTGTGGGGGTTGTGACAGCAGCAACACCGACACACATTTCCTTATTCTTCTTGCCCTTCTCACCCTCCCTAGCCCAGCTCATGCTTAGAAACAGGCTTGTCCCTTACTATATTTGCCTCTACTGCTGAGCTTTTACAGGAATTAATCACTTTCAATAGGAGGAGGGTAAAAGCTCTTTTGAATAATCCTACCACCAATGAATAAACAAACTCAAATTAAACAAGGACAGAGTACCAGGAATGGTGTTTCGTCCTTTCCATACAATAGCCCCTCTCATTCTGCAGGGGCTAGAGATGTTCTGCCTTGTCTCCATAAAGCCCATCTAAAATCCCAAACCAAGAAATACCCCACAGAACATAGGAGTGAACAGAGAACTGACTGAAAGGATAAAACCCAAAGAGGGAAGAAACAATTCCTAGGTTTGCTTCTATCTCCTTTACCCATCGAAGCAGTTTTGCACCCAGTGAGGCTACTGTCCTGGAATCTCCTGCTTTTTCTCCTCCCCCAAACACTGTTCACTTTCTGTGACTAGATTCGACTGGTTGCAGGGTTATAAAGGGTTGGATCATAGTAAGAGGACTGTGAATCATAGCCTCACATTACATGCTGTTTTGCAGTTGATTAAAGGCTTTGCATCTGCTTTCTCTTTGGATGCTCAAAACAACTCCAAGAAGTAGGACTAGCATTCGTATCATTCCCATTTTACAAACAAGAAAAAGGAGGCTTTCTATGAGCTCAAGGAAGTGGCCAAGAAGGCACTTGGCGGTCTGGCCAAACTCTTGTGTGGCCCCTCCCCTTTTACTCAGTGAAGCCTGATGGGGAAACCACTGAAGCCATCAACTGAATCCTGTTGGGACTCTTAAACAGCAAAGGTTTGTTTGTTTTTGTGTTTTGTTTTGTTTTTTTTCTGTTGCCTCTACTCTCTCCTTGGGCCCCCCAGAGCCCTTTCCCCCTGTAAAGTTCCCCATTTTGTAGTTGAGAGAGCCTTGGCTTAGCACCAAACAGACAGAACCTCAATATTTCTAAGAATCTGTCCCTATCTCTATGGTGTGGGGTTTTAAAAATCACTTTCTAATAACATTTCCCTTTGCAAGGAAGGACAGTATCATTCCCAGAAGAAGAGAGGGTGGGAAGTCTTTTACCCCACTAAGGACACAGTCCCCAAGTCTCAGGGATCCCCCAAAGACCTCCAGGACTCCCTCTCTCCATCTCCAGCACCTGCCTCGCTCTTGACATCACCACCATGCTCTCCTATCATAGCCAAGATCCTTCCACAGGACGGAAGACAAGCCATGCACAACTCAGACAAGATTTTACAGTTTTACCAGCCAAGAGGAAAGCTGCTTCCCTTGGTTCTAACCTCCACATTCCCAGACTCTGATTGATGCAGCACCAGGCAATGTGCCCAGCTACATTACCAGAACCTCACAGTGAAAGGAAAACAGTTCCTCCAAAATAAGGGGATTCTGTTCCCCAAAGGGACGAGGAATGGTGACCAAATCATAATTGTCCACCACATGCTTCACACTTTTACTGATCAAGTCTTTTGAAAATTATTTTTCTCTGAATTCACATAGTGCTATGTATCATTCACAAGGCATGTTTCATATACTGTTACACCTTTCTATATATGCCTTTTCTCCTCCAGCTGTATGTGACCTTGGAATAATTCCTTAACCTCTCCTCACCTTCGTGTCTTCACAGTGAAATGGACATTATTATAATCCCTACCTCATAAATTGTTGGAAGGACTGAAGTACTTAGTACATGCCTGACAAATAGAAAGGCATTTGATAAATGTTAGCTGTTCATATTACTGCCATCAATATTGTATTAATCATTATTATTAAGGCATAGCTAGAACTACAGTTTAGACCACAACTGTATGTAAAGGGTCTTTAGGCATAGGTGATATTTTATAAAGGTTGGCTGCATTAATCTGTGGTTTTTGACAATGGAAACTCAAGACATACAGAGTAATTTGTCGTTGAAACATACAAAAAAAAAAGTGTTTATGAACTAAAGAAATCTGTTCAAAGCTGCCCCCAAATATGATCAAGTTAATTTCAATAAATTTGTCACAGCAATGGAGAAAGGAACACAAGAGGGCCCCACAGATAAGAAATGCCTTGCCCATAGTTACTCACTGGTAAAAAGAGAAAGTCAGATTAGATCAGTGCTTCTCAAAGGGTTTTCCCCAGCACACGGAGCGCCTCCCAAGTGTTGCACAAAGCAAGAGTTTCCGGCTCAAGTAACTTTTAAAATCCTGTGCACTCTATCCCATTCTTGGAGCTTTACAATGCACATTTTCATATTAAAACTCTGAGCGGTCCTGTAGAAAAGACATCAGTTTCACTTTGTTTTTTAAAAAACGGGCACTTCCCAACCTAAGCTCACAGGACCAGACCAGTTTGCTTATGGAAAGAGACTCAGGCTAGCTTTGTGACTACAGTGGTGACACCCGCTTTCTCCTTTGTATGTCCTCAGTGGGCTAGGTCAGGGATAAGTACATTTTCCTGATTCTAAGGGCCCGTCAACCCTTTGTGCTGAGTTCAGAGCTTCTCTGCAGCACGAGTCGTAATAAAGGGCAGCTCTGTTTGTCTTGCGATGCCTTCCAGCCCTCTCTGAGCCTCCAGGGAAAGGCATCTCACTGAGCATTCTTGGCATGAAACAGGAGCAACTGATATATCCTTCCTTCCCCTTGGGACTTCCTTGTTCTCAAAAGGGTGTCAGCCAGCGTCTTCATGTAGAGAATACACTAGCTGGCTCAGCTAGGCCAGTGTTTCCCACAAAGAGAATTGGGGGGGAAACAAGTGTTGAAACATTTCATACTTTATCCCTCCTCTTAGAGAATCACAAAGCACATTAGCATATTAAAGATGCTGAAGTTCCTCAGGAAAGAAGCTTATTTAACTTTAGCCCACATTTCCAAATTTTATTTGACCATAGGGCCCTTTACCAAAACACCTATTAACAAATCAAGGACATTAATATTCCATGAAACACTTTAGATCTCTGGGGTCCCTTCCAGCTACATCATTCGATAATTCCCTTTTTTACTTATGAGGCATTAAAAGATTAATTTCTATCAGGCTTCTATTAAGAAACTTACCATACTTTGCAAAAAGGAGCAGATAAAATCACCCAATTAAAAATATATATCCTTGAGGATTTTGAGACTTAAAATAAATTATATGTATTTATACATAATTTTCTTTTCTATATTCTGTTCTCCCACCATGCCCCTGCCCCTGATCCCCTGGCTGGCAGGAAAGCCTGGCACATAGATTTGGTCCATGGTAGCTATGTATTCCTATGAGCTGGAGTTTACTTCAGTGCACAAAGGGAGTGCTAAAAACATGCTGTTGACTCATTGACCCTAAGAGCAGAAGAAATGCCAGAAGTCCAGAACGAGAGTCAGTAAAGCAGGTGGAAAGTTTCATGAGGCAGTCCTCTAAAGGAAGCGCCATTTCCCTTTTCCATCGGCCCAAACACCTTCTCTACATTTCTCCCAAAATACCTTCTTCCACCAGCCTTCTGTTCCCCAGCAAATGACATCACATACAGTAATTCCAACAGAACTTGCTGCTGCTCTACTTCCTTCATTATAAGGCCACTAAGTGAATGTTCAAGTGATGTAACGGTGCTGTCACATGTGTGTCTTGTAAATGTTTGTGCACTTGTCTCTGTGTTCCTACATCTCAGGCTTCAAATATTTGTTTCCCACCTTTGCCAGCGACTACCTGTGTGGCCTTGGAAAAGTTGCTTACCCTCTCTAAGCCTCAGTTTCTGCACCTGTAAAATGGACATAATGCCATCTAGTTCCTAGGGTTGATCATGATACTCAAAGAGCTAATATGTGAGAATTGCTTAGCACAGTGCCTGGAACATAATAAGGGCTTAATAAGTGCTTGCTGCAATTATTATAATTAGTAGTAGTAGCAGTATCACTACAAATAAATATTATTGCTATTATAATTACTAAACTAGTATTACCATGATAATTATCAACATAATTATTCTTACTATAATAGTAAGGTTTCTTAATCTTGTATCAGTATTGTCTTTGACAGCAGTAAGGAACTGTGTCTGATTAACATTTTCAGCGCAATATCTAGCATGACATCATATGTAAATTAGTGAGCTAGTATTAAGGATGAAAAAATTATTATGTATTTTTTTAAGATTTTTATTGGGAATTGGAGGATGGGAACAGCGCTGGGGAATTGGGGGAAGGGGAACAGACAAGTTGCTGTCCTTTTGTTCTTCAGTCTAGTTGTGGAGGACGTTGCTTCACTGGCCCAAGTTGGCACCATCATTGCACTCTTCCCGGGCAAGGCAGATCAGTCGCCGGCTTCTGGACAGCTGCTCACTGCGGCTGCTGGCCGCTCATGCTGGCTGCTGGCCACATACGGTAGCCCGTGGCAACCCACTGCAGCAGGGACTGCAGCCTACGCCGTCGCTGGCGACTCACGGCAGCCCAGCTCCAGGTTGAGCTGTTGTTCAGCATCTTAGCTGTGGAGGGCAGTGTCACTGGCCCTCATATGTGGGATCCGAACCGGGGCCCTCTGGCGTCCCAAGCCAGTTCTTAACCAACGCGCCACTCGGCCGGCCCGAAAAAAAGTTATTTTTATTAACCCTTAAATACTTTATAAGTAACAACGCAAAAGGAGCCGTCAGCTTAACACATGGAAATTCCAGATCTGCTGGGGTTTGTTTTTGG